ATGGTTTTCCAGTCATATTTATTTGTTAACTATATAAGAAGGAGCAAGACACATCTAGATAATGTTCTTAGTACTAGTCAACTGCAAGATGCTACAACAGAGGATAACAAAGACTACTACATTCATCAAAATAATGCTACACTAGAGGGGGGATAACAAAGGCTTTTGGCATCATCAAAACAGTTCATCAAAATCTAGGGTCTAACAAAAATGAATGTAAATTACAATTTCCAAGAAAATGGAAATAAATGTTATTGATTGGGTTCATGTGTTCGAGTCGTTGCAATACCAACACAGCAATGCTAAATACACATTGTTTATATATACTTTAAAAGATTCCTTCAAAGAAAATAAAAGATATGATTTTACAAATAAAAATGTTTTATCACAAATAACATTCTCTCATAGACAGTACTTTTCGTGCGAGATTGACAGTTGTGAAAAGTACATAGAGGAGAATGCAAACCAATAGTCTTCACAAACAATAGTTTTATATCTCAAAAATTTAGAGATAGATTTCGTCTTGTAGAAATGTTGAATTGAATTGCATGTGATCAAATTTCACAGATAATGATCGTTTGGTGACCTGGCTTGACACCATGCATACAAACGTGTAAATCAATTGTACAAATGTCATTTTCCTATCAACATTTTGTTTTAATATACTTTTGGATATTTGATTTTGTTAACCATGTTAAACATTTGGTACAACCTATGTTGATTGATGATTCAATTGCTAGTCGAATTCTATATATACACCAAAATAGCAGAAAAAATGTATCCCCATATATTCATATCTACATACCATATCAATAGCTTGCACCAATTGATGAAGTGAAAGGAATACTGACTTAAGCTCTTATTTAAACGCCAAACTCAAATGATGTCTTTTACAGACTACAGTTGTACCCCTTATCATATTAAGGTTCTAAAGCTGGATTAGAGTTACATTTTATTATAATTTCAAGTCAGACCAAACTAGAATATACATAAAAGGTGTAGAATTTCTTATTGTGGAGAAAGAAGTATTTTGGGGAAGTTTTCTGTCTTTCTTATTCAAGCCATACAAGGCAAATATATAGGAGTTACGTACAAGCAGGAGACAAAGGTCAATAATGAGCCTAAGTCAATAATTGAAAAATACGAATAATAAAATTACAATTGAAATTACAAAAGGTAAATATTTATGTGTAATATCCCCCCTCAAGTTGGAGCATGAGGATCCAAAATGCCCAACTTGCGCAGTAGAAAGTGAAATTGAGATTTGCCCAAAGCTTTTGTGAAAATGTCAGCCAATTGTAGAGTAGTAGGCACATAGGAGGGTGCAATTAAATTGTCTTTGACTGCATCTCGAAGGAAGTGACAATCCACCTCGATATGTTTGGTGCGTTCATGGAAAACCGGGTTTTTAGCAATATGAAGAGCAAACTGGCTATCACAGAATAGTGGTATAACATGTGGATGTTGAATAGCAAGATTGAGGAGCAAGGCTTTGAGCCATTTAAGTTCACAAGTAGCAGCTGCCATGGAACGTGAGACAATGTGTTGTTTCTTCGTCTTCCAAGAAATCGGGGAATGTCCAAGAAATACGATCCACCCAGACAGGGATCGCCGCGTGAGTGGACATGCAGCCTAGTCAGAGTCACACCAACCTTTCAAAGTTAGTGCACTATCAGCCCGAAGAAGAATTGCTTGACCGGGAGAGCCCTTGAGATATTGAATGACCCTAAGTGCAGCATCTCAATGGTCCTGCTGTGGTTTGTGCATGAACTGTGATAGTATGTGAACAGAGTATGCCAATCTGGATGAGTAACTGCCAAATCGATGAGGCGCCCCAATAGACGCCGGTAAGCCTCGGGATCCGCAAGTGGAGTTCCGCAAGCATCAGACAATTTATGATTCGGCTCAATCGGAAAAGATGCGGGCTTAGCCCCAAGCAAGCCAGTTTCAACAATAATGTCCAAAGTGTATTTTCGTTGGGTAAGAAACAACCCGGTCAGGCTGCGAGCAACTTTAATACCAAAGATATATTTCAACTTCCCGAGGTCTTTCATATGAAAACATGAGCTTAAGTAATTTTTAAAATCACTAATGGCAGCGGAATGGTTTTCTGAGATTAATAAGTCATCAACATATATGAAGACATTCAGTTGCTCATGATTGTGGGTCCGAGTAAACAAAGAGTAATCAATGTAAGATTGAGAAAACCCATATTTCTTTAATGTTGTGACTAGCTTTACAAACCAACACCTTGGGGCTTGTTTGAGTCCATACAAAGATTTACGGAGGCGGCAAACGAGGGATGAATCTTGTGTACGATATCCGGGGGGAGTGTCATATATACTTCCTCATGAAGATCGCCATGTAAGAAGGCATTATGGACGTCCATTTGATGCAGTTCCCAATTTTTGGAAGCCGCAATGGCTAAGAAAGCACGCACAGTCACCATTTTCGCTACGGGAGTGAATGTTTCCGTATAATCCAAACCTGCAATCTGTCGATTTCCATAAACCACCAATCGAGCTTTATATCGCTCAATAGTGCCGTCAGAGTTATATTTAATTTTATACACCCAACGACAACCTAAGGCACGTTTGTTTGGTGGTAGTGTCGCCATTGTCCATGTCTTATTGGCTTCAAGAGCCTGGACTTCAGATTGCATGGCCTCACGCCATTTTATATCTGTATTAGCCTCATTAAAATTTTGTGGCTCATAACCAGCCGTAACAGCTGCAAGGAAAGCTCGATGGTTGTTAGAAAATTTGTCACAATTAACATAATGTGCTATAGGAAAAGGTGTACCTGAGGAAGACTGAGGAGTAGGTGCTGCGGGGGATGGACTTGAAGTAATAACAGTACGAGATGCATAGTCACGCAGCTTGATAGAAGGGAATTTAGTCCGCAGGCCCGCCCCAATTGGGGCTCAATAGGTGGCGACGTGTCTAATTGCTCATGCAAGGTGTTTGAGGATTCTTCAATTGTGGGAGAGTTCACTGTAGGAGCATTATTTGAAAGAGTGGTCCCCAAAGGTTGACATATGTCTTCTCTAGGGTCATGCACTTGCTCACCCACATGTACTTGGTCACCCACATGCAGGAATTCATAATTGTCTATGGCAGTGGGTGGATTATACGAGAAATCCAGGTTTGAGGACAAAGTGGTGGGTTCCATATATGGGAAGTTTGTTTCGTAAAATTTCACATCCCTAGAAGTGAAATACTCTTGATTTTCAAGATCAAACACCCGCCAACCTTTTTTTCCAAATTCATCTCCATGAGGTTTTTGATTAGGCGCAAAGCATAAACATCCAAACACCCGTAGCGCTTTATAATCAGGCAAAACCCCAAACAAAATTTCATGCGGTGATTTATGTTGGAGTAGGGCGGATGGTGTACAATTAATAAGATGAGATGCAGTAAGGACACATTCTCCCTAGAAAGATATAGGCAAATTTCCTTGGAACCGCAGTGCCCGAGCCACATTAAGGATATGACGGTGTTTGCGTTCCACTCGTCCATTTTGTTGAGGGGTCCCCACACAAGATGTTTGAAAAATAATCCCGTTATCACGGAAGTAATTTTTCAAACAATAGAATTTTGTTCCGTTATCACTTCGGACCATAGAAATATTACTAGAAAATTGTCTGTCAATCATGGTCAAAAAAGACATGAACATGCGATAAACTTCCTTTTTATCGATCAATAAATACACCCAAACAGCTCGAGAAAAATCATCAACTGTTGTCAAAAAATATTTAGCACCACAAGATGAGACAATATTATATGGCCCCCAAACATCACAAAGAATAAGCTCAAATATTCTTGTAGTTTTATTGTAACACCAGACCCGAATTTTACTGTGAGAAAATTTTTTCATCAAGTACTGGGTTAAAGAAGGTAAATCAAGGCTAAGAGTAGTCTTGATAAATGAGAAAGTAAAAAATTTGTCTTAAATTAATAAAGGATTATTAATTTAGACGTGGGGACCACTCATGATATTTCGAGTTTATAAAATATTAATGTTTATCAAAATGATACTATTATGATAGTATGGATGGTTCCTGGACCCCGGTAATATAAAGAATGACAACTAGACGGCCAAACGGGTCGGTGTAACTATTCGATAATTGTGAGTCTTTGATTATCGGACTGATAATAATTCGGAAGGCTACGAATTAATAACAGAAGGAATATAAATATTTTAAGAACCCAAAACATGGGATGATGGATAACAATGAGCAACTTGACATGTTAGAGGTGGGTACTTTTGGAGGACCCTACCTTGGAGATATTTTGTATAAGAATAAACAGATAAGATTTTGTCTGTTCATACAATTCGGACCACTTAAAAATAAGTGTAACATTTTATTAAAGTGTCACCAAATATGAAACCACATATTAAGTAATGAGAAATGACGAGTGAATTTTCGAGGCAACGCGTTCTTATTTTTACTGTTACTTCAACAGTAAAATACACGTTGGGCCCACACGTGGGCGGCGACCATCCGATATTTACGGACCACATATTATATTCATCTTGGTTTAGATAATATTTATATGATGGTGTAAATTAATGTGAGCCATAAAGTTGGCCTTTCAATCAAACGAGGTCCCATCATCGGTATAGTTAATTAATCAGATAACAGCCCGAAATAAATTCCGGGGACCACTAAATTGAAGTTGGGTAATATATATTCATTTTAGAGTCCAATATTAATTGGAAGAATGATATATATTTTACTTAACCCGATAAAATAAAATATAATTAAAACAGTCCAGAAAATACAACTTTCGGGGCCGAATGTACACTTCGGGACATATTGGGATGACCTCCCACACGAGTGGGGGCCACCCCACGTTTTTTAGTCTAAAAATAAGTGATGAGATTATGAGAGTGAGGTGTGTGATGTGTGAGGGGATGGGAGAGACACACATGATAGGTAAAGGGACCCTCCTCCCATTATTATGGCATGTGAGACCAAATAGGAAGGTCTCCTCCACCTCCCCCCTACCCCCTTCGGCCATACCACCCAAAATAGAGAGAACAAGTCTCCAACATCTCATTTCCATGTCCAAGAACCGAGCTCAAGAATTGAGGGGACTCAAAGAAGAAGAAAAGCTAGCATAAGTGAGGAAAAACTTGGAAAATCAAGGTAAGGACTTCATTATTATTTTTCCTCCTTCATTTTAATCTCATATGATTTTATAAATCATATGATAGACTTTTAAACTTGTTCTACACTTCTAGAGGTGTAGAATGAGGGTTTGAAAGACTAAGTTTAACCATGAACGGAGTTATAACCGGAGTAAGACCGGTTCACCGGAAAAACCTTCTTGGAAGGTTTTGACGTTTATACCACTTTTGGTTGTGAAACCTTGTTAGGAATTTTACCAAGGTATTCTGGACTTCTCAAGGAACCTAGGAGTGGCCGGAAAGTCGCCGGAGCCGCCGGAGGTTTCGCCGGAAAATTCAAAGGTTGCCGGAGTTCAAACAAAGGGGATAAAAACTCGCTAGCGTCATTTCAAGGTGAGTGGACGACTACGTGTCTTGTAACTCTTGGTTCAAACGTGGGATTACCTAAATAAAATCATAACCATGATTTGAGAAATGATGAAATGGATTAAAATGCATGATTAGTCATGGTGTATATGACTAATGAAAAAAAATAGATTAATTTATTAATTAATCATTAGTGCGTAGTATATATTTCTTAATGCATAAGAGGATATACTTGAACCATGTATGAGATAAGCTCGAATAATCTAGTAAGTGAATATAAAAGGGTTGTAAAGTTGTGATTATCCATATTAAATATGGATTATGGAAGTATTATATGATAAATAAAAAAATAGATTAATCTATTAATTAATCATGAGTATATTTTTCTTAAATGAATAAGAAGGTATACTTGAACCGTGTATGTGATTAACTAGAGTTATCTAGTAAAGAAATATAAAAAGATATGTGATATGTGATTAGTCATATTAATTATGGATTATGGAAATATGGCATAATTAATGATTAATCAATTAATGGTATGAATAAAAGGTTGTACGAAAGGATCATGAGCCATGATTTGGACTTGGGCATGAGATTACTCAAATAAAACAGAATGATATTCCATGAAATGTTAAATACATCTAAGAATGTATTAAGGAAAGATTTACTTATTAATAGTATTAATAAGTGTATTTAATATGCTTTAATTTGGACAGAAAATGATTATAAATTATGTGCTATGATTTGGACGTCCAAAATAATATTTTTGGACTAAGAATGACTTGTTGCATAAGCGTATAAAATTTCGTGGAAATCGGACCCCGTTTGGATGGTCAAACGGGCGTTGACCAAAATGTCGACCGGTTGCCCGGGGGGTAACCGGCGCCGGTTATAGGCAAAACCGGCGCCGGTTATGGTTCGGTTTACTCAAGAAAATCAGTAAACCGGCGCCGATTATGGGTAAAACCGGCGCCGGTTATGTCTCGGCTTTCAGGACTGATTTTTGCTAAAAACCCAAATCGGACTCGGTTCGACGTGGGATTAATTCTGGCCATCCTATATATGAATATTTTGCATGGAATTGCATGAAATATAATGTTTAAAATGATAAGGCTTGGAATACAGTTTAAACGCTAAGACTTGGACTAGTCGTTAGTAAAGAAATTATAGACCACGACCAGGCGAGGTACGTGGTAGATTATACATGGCGGGTGAATACCCGGGACCATGTAAGGTTATATAATACTCTGTAGGACCAGGAAGAGTCCTCTACACTCAAACGTTAACAAGGGCCCGTGCAGTCCTTGAGGTGTGTTTAACCTCCATCAAATTGCATATAGGTAACAAGGGCAAATGCAGTCCTTGAGGTGTGTTAACCTCCACCAAAGTGCATATAGGTAACAAGGGCAAATGCAGTCCTTGAGGTGTGTTCAACCTCCATCAAATTGCATATAGGTAACAAGGGCAAATGCAGTCCTTGAGGTGTGTTTAACCTCCATCAAATTGCATATAGGTAACAAGGGCAAATGCAGTCCTTGAGGTGTGTTTAACCTCCATCAAATTGCATATAGGTAACAAGGGCCCGTGCAGTCCTTGAGGTGTGTTTAACCTCCATCAAATTGCATATAGGTAACAAGGGCAAATGCAGTCCTTGAGGTGTGTTAACCTCCATCAAAGTGCGTATAGGTAACAAGGGCCCGTGTAGTCCTTGAGGTGTGTTAACCTCCAGTAAATTACACATAGGATGAGGGTGTATGCGTACTCCTCGAGGCGGGGTTAACCCGGGAATGAAAACTATGATAGCAAGGACGGATAGTCCTCGAGGTAGGTGAACCTCGAAGTAATGATTTTAAATGATTAAACGTGCTTGATCGGGAACGAGTTTCCGGTATAATATTTTCCTTGGTCTAGGAATTGATTTAAACCATGTCCGTGATATGGGAGTCCAAAGGGCCCCACAGTAATTTTATTTTGGCATCGAGTGAGTTAGCCTGCGGGTGACTCCACTCGAGGGTAAGACATGGGAAGGGTGAATTTAATGAGGCTGTTACGCCTAAATGATTTGAAAGACAAATGGGCCCACGGGCCAGATATTTTACTCATATGTATATATGTATACATTTTGTTTTGAAAAGGGGTAGCTAAGAGTTATGCCCATAATTATACTATCACCCTATTTTGAGGGTCTCACGTGAGAAACGTTAGTTACATTACATACAGTTTGCCCTCACCAGTACTTTTCTGTAGTACTGATCCCTCGGGGGAACCACCCTTTCAGGTTGAAGCTAGAGCTTACTTCCTGCACCCGTTGCTCGGGAGATCGATGGAGAGAAGACGTGGTTCGTGCTTTCTCTCGTTCTATTTTTTTTAAATAATTAAATAATGCTCATGGAACTATTTTGACTTATAAATTAAAGGAGCCTGCGAGCTCTTGTTTTACCCTTGTGTGGGTTCTTATTAAACACTTATATTCCGCTATGTGTTTGATTGTATGTTGATGTTGTTATGTGTGTTTACTAATCGGTTTTGGCATATGTATCTATCGGACGTCTTGTGCAATTCGGTAAGGATGAACTGCGGTTATTCTTATTGGGTTGTACGACGGTTGTCCACGTGGCACAGACGCGGTCTGGGGCGTGACAATTAAGTGGTATCAGAGCCATACGATTTCTAAACTATATAGTCAACCTCTCAACAGAGTTTCTATCAAAACAGTTTTCAATGAAAAACCATGAGCATAAGTTTTGTACTTTAAGAGCATTTGGTTATCGAGTTGCAAGGTCTCTGGTTGTTAAGATGGGCCCCTTAACAATTGGTATGACAGTGACTAGAGCCAAGTTGTGTCTTGAGTACGTTTCTGTCAATTGGCATTCAAACGAGTCCAAAGACTCATTCCAACATATTCTTTCAGGAATGGGTGGTAGTGATAGGGCGGTTCGAGGAAATCCGAGAGGGCGCGCCCCGGGGATAGCCGGGCAAGCCAATCGGGGAATATCAAGGTCGCGTAAAAGGCGAGGTATGGGCAACCAAGGCCCACGAACACGAGCCACGATGGCTGATCACAATGTGACTGAATTCGAGTCGTGGAACTCAGAGGATGACTCAACTTATCACCCTGAAAGCGAGTCAGATGAAACTTCCTTTGAGGAAAACAGTGGAGAGGATATACGTAGTATTCCTCCGGACCATGTTAGTGAGATGTACCGATGGTACCAACGTGAAATGGGAAGACAACGACAGGGATCTCAGGAGGGACATGTCAGAGGCGAGACCTCTCTCATGAGGGGTAAGGGTGCTCATAGAGCACAAGTTAGGACAGTCAGAGATTCTGATGACGAAGGACCATTCATTAAGATCTCAAGGTACCTTAAAGAGGCTAGAGCCTTGGGGTGCAAGTCATTTGATGGAACGGGGGACATATCGGAAGCAGCCGAGTGGATAAAAAGGTTGAATGATGCAGCTGATGACATGCAAGTGGTCCCTGAACGAAAGTTAAGGGTAGCCACTAGATTATTGGAGGGTTTAGCTTCTACTTGGTGGGAAGGCACCAAGGGTAAGTTTGATGGGGTTGTCACGTGGGACAACTTTGAGCAAGCATTCTATGAGCAGTTTTACACCTCTTTCGAAGTAAATCGAAAGAGGAGGGAATATATCGATCTCAAACAGGGAAATGAGTTTACGGTGAAGCAACTGGAACAAAGATTCCGACATCTGGCAAGGTTCTTGCCTGAGTATGCCGCAAATGAGAACCGAATGGCAAACCATTTTTGGAATGCACTCAATTTGGAAATACGCGAAAGAGCGACCTACCAATTCAACATGACTTTTAGTGAAGTAGTAGCCCAGGGTCTCCAGGGGGAGGAGCTTTGGAAGGAAAGGCAAGCAAGGGATGCAAAGGAAGCACAAGAAAGAGATCAGGTGATCATTCACCCTCCACGACGAGAGGGGAAGTATGAACTTCAGAGCAAGGGGAACACTAACAAGTCAGTTCCGTTTTTCAGTGAGAGCCAGGACTTGGTAAGTCAAAGCTCAAGCACTCGAGGCACGGGGGCACCCAAATGCGAGAATTGTAGGCGAAGGCATTACGGGAGATGTCGAGAGCCATCTAGATGTTACTTTTGTGGAGAAACAGGCCACATCAAGGTCCTTTGTCCTCAACGTACGCGTGAAGGAACATCAGGAGCTAGAGGAGGGGTCACGGGGGTTGAAAACCCAACTAGGGTTGCCTCAAACATGGTACCTTCTACAAGTCAATGGCGAACTCGCTCGTGAAGGCCAGGAATGGCGGAAGCCATTTGTTAGGCCCGATTATGGCATAAGGTATTATTAAATTAAACCTTAATTTCCATAAATATTTTTATGTTCAAAATTTTTAGCTTCAGAAAATGAAGGGAGGAATGTTTCTCAAGGTTCAGACGTTAATTTCGGGGACGAAATTCCTGTAAGGTGGGGTGAACTTGTAACACCAGACCCGAATTTTACTGTGAGAAAATTTTTTCATCAAGTACTGGGTTAAAGAAGGTAAATCAAGGCTAAGAGTAGTCTTGATAAATGAGAAAGTAAAAAATTTGTCTTAAATTAATAAAGGATTATTAATTTAGACGTGGGGACCACTCATGATATTTCGAGTTTATAAAATATTAATGTTTATCAAAATGATACTATTATGATAGTATGGATGGTTCCTGGACCCCGGTAATATAAAGAATGACAACTAGACGGCCAAACGGGTCGGTGTAACTATTCGATAATTGTGAGTCTTTGATTATCGGACTGATAATAATTCGGAAGGCTACGAATTAATAACAGAAGGAATATAAATATTTTAAGAACCCAAAACATGGGATGATGGATAACAATGAGCAACTTGACATGTTAGAGGTGGGTACTTTTGGAGGACCCTACCTTGGAGATATTTTGTATAAGAATAAACAGATAAGATTTTGTCTGTTCATACAATTCGGACCACTTAAAAATAAGTGTAACATTTTATTAAAGTGTCACCAAATATGAAACCACATATTAAGTAATGAGAAATGACGAGTGAATTTTCGAGGCAACGCGTTCTTATTTTTACTGTTACTTCAACAGTAAAATACACGTTGGGCCCACACGTGGGCGGCGACCATCCGATATTTACGGACCACATATTATATTCATCTTGGTTTAGATAATATTTATATGATGGTGTAAATTAATGTGAGCCATAAAGTTGGCCTTTCAATCAAACGAGGTCCCATCATCGGTATAGTTAATTAATCAGATAACAGCCCGAAATAAATTCCGGGGACCACTAAATTGAAGTTGGGTAATATATATTCATTTTAGAGTCCAATATTAATTGGAAGAATGATATATATTTTACTTAACCCGATAAAATAAAATATAATTAAAACAGTCCAGAAAATACAACTTTCGGGGCCGAATGTACACTTCGGGACATATTGGGATGACCTCCCACACGAGTGGGGGCCACCCCACGTTTTTTAGTCTAAAAATAAGTGATGAGATTATGAGAGTGAGGTGTGTGATGTGTGAGGGGATGGGAGAGACACACATGATAGGTAAAGGGACCCTCCTCCCATTATTATGGCATGTGAGACCAAATAGGAAGGTCTCCTCCACCTCCCCCCTACCCCCTTCGGCCATACCACCCAAAATAGAGAGAACAAGTCTCCAACATCTCATTTCCATGTCCAAGAACCGAGCTCAAGAATTGAGGGGACTCAAAGAAGAAGAAAAGCTAGCATAAGTGAGGAAAAACTTGGAAAATCAAGGTAAGGACTTCATTATTATTTTTCCTCCTTCATTTTAATCTCATATGATTTTATAAATCATATGATAGACTTTTAAACTTGTTCTACACTTCTAGAGGTGTAGAATGAGGGTTTGAAAGACTAAGTTTAACCATGAACGGAGTTATAACCGGAGTAAGACCGGTTCACCGGAAAAACCTTCTTGGAAGGTTTTGACGTTTATACCACTTTTGGTTGTGAAACCTTGTTAGGAATTTTACCAAGGTATTCTGGACTTCTCAAGGAACCTAGGAGTGGCCGGAAAGTCGCCGGAGCCGCCGGAGGTTTCGCCGGAAAATTCAAAGGTTGCCGGAGTTCAAACAAAGGGGATAAAAACTCGCTAGCGTCATTTCAAGGTGAGTGGACGACTACGTGTCTTGTAACTCTTGGTTCAAACGTGGGATTACCTAAATAAAATCATAACCATGATTTGAGAAATGATGAAATGGATTAAAATGCATGATTAGTCATGGTGTATATGACTAATGAAAAAAAATAGATTAATTTATTAATTAATCATTAGTGCGTAGTATATATTTCTTAATGCATAAGAGGATATACTTGAACCATGTATGAGATAAGCTCGAATAATCTAGTAAGTGAATATAAAAGGGTTGTAAAGTTGTGATTATCCATATTAAATATGGATTATGGAAGTATTATATGATAAATAAAAAAATAGATTAATCTATTAATTAATCATGAGTATATTTTTCTTAAATGAATAAGAAGGTATACTTGAACCGTGTATGTGATTAACTAGAGTTATCTAGTAAAGAAATATAAAAAGATATGTGATATGTGATTAGTCATATTAATTATGGATTATGGAAATATGGCATAATTAATGATTAATCAATTAATGGTATGAATAAAAGGTTGTACGAAAGGATCATGAGCCATGATTTGGACTTGGGCATGAGATTACTCAAATAAAACAGAATGATATTCCATGAAATGTTAAATACATCTAAGAATGTATTAAGGAAAGATTTACTTATTAATAGTATTAATAAGTGTATTTAATATGCTTTAATTTGGACAGAAAATGATTATAAATTATGTGCTATGATTTGGACGTCCAAAATAATATTTTTGGACTAAGAATGACTTGTTGCATAAGCGTATAAAATTTCGTGGAAATCGGACCCCGTTTGGATGGTCAAACGGGCGTTGACCAAAATGTCGACCGGTTGCCCGGGGGGTAACCGGCGCCGGTTATAGGCAAAACCGGCGCCGGTTATGGTTCGGTTTACTCAAGAAAATCAGTAAACCGGCGCCGATTATGGGTAAAACCGGCGCCGGTTATGTCTCGGCTTTCAGGACTGATTTTTGCTAAAAACCCAAATCGGACTCGGTTCGACGTGGGATTAATTCTGGCCATCCTATATATGAATATTTTGCATGGAATTGCATGAAATATAATGTTTAAAATGATAAGGCTTGGAATACAGTTTAAACGCTAAGACTTGGACTAGTCGTTAGTAAAGAAATTATAGACCACGACCAGGCGAGGTACGTGGTAGATTATACATGGCGGGTGAATACCCGGGACCATGTAAGGTTATATAATACTCTGTAGGACCAGGAAGAGTCCTCTACACTCAAACGTTAACAAGGGCCCGTGCAGTCCTTGAGGTGTGTTTAACCTCCATCAAATTGCATATAGGTAACAAGGGCAAATGCAGTCCTTGAGGTGTGTTAACCTCCACCAAAGTGCATATAGGTAACAAGGGCAAATGCAGTCCTTGAGGTGTGTTCAACCTCCATCAAATTGCATATAGGTAACAAGGGCAAATGCAGTCCTTGAGGTGTGTTTAACCTCCATCAAATTGCATATAGGTAACAAGGGCAAATGCAGTCCTTGAGGTGTGTTTAACCTCCATCAAATTGCATATAGGTAACAAGGGCCCGTGCAGTCCTTGAGGTGTGTTTAACCTCCATCAAATTGCATATAGGTAACAAGGGCAAATGCAGTCCTTGAGGTGTGTTAACCTCCATCAAAGTGCGTATAGGTAACAAGGGCCCGTGTAGTCCTTGAGGTGTGTTAACCTCCAGTAAATTACACATAGGATGAGGGTGTATGCGTACTCCTCGAGGCGGGGTTAACCCGGGAATGAAAACTATGATAGCAAGGACGGATAGTCCTCGAGGTAGGTGAACCTCGAAGTAATGATTTTAAATGATTAAACGTGCTTGATCGGGAACGAGTTTCCGGTATAATATTTTCCTTGGTCTAGGAATTGATTTAAACCATGTCCGTGATATGGGAGTCCAAAGGGCCCCACAGTAATTTTATTTTGGCATCGAGTGAGTTAGCCTGCGGGTGACTCCACTCGAGGGTAAGACATGGGAAGGGTGAATTTAATGAGGCTGTTACGCCTAAATGATTTGAAAGACAAATGGGCCCACGGGCCAGATATTTTACTCATATGTATATATGTATACATTTTGTTTTGAAAAGGGGTAGCTAAGAGTTATGCCCATAATTATACTATCACCCTATTTTGAGGGTCTCACGTGAGAAACGTTAGTTACATTACATACAGTTTGCCCTCACCAGTACTTTTCTGTAGTACTGATCCCTCGGGGGAACCACCCTTTCAGGTTGAAGCTAGAGCTTACTTCCTGCACCCGTTGCTCGGGAGATCGATGGAGAGAAGACGTGGTTCGTGCTTTCTCTCGTTCTATTTTTTTTAAATAATTAAATAATGCTCATGGAACTATTTTGACTTATAAATTAAAGGAGCCTGCGAGCTCTTGTTTTACCCTTGTGTGGGTTCTTATTAAACACTTATATTCCGCTATGTGTTTGATTGTATGTTGATGTTGTTATGTGTGTTTACTAATCGGTTTTGGCATATGTATCTATCGGACGTCTTGTGCAATTCGGTAAGGATGAACTGCGGTTATTCTTATTGGGTTGTACGACGGTTGTCCACGTGGCACAGACGCGGTCTGGGGCGTGACATTTATTAGCACTCAAAGGAAATGCATCCCTAGTTTGTTTAGCCTTATGACATATTTCACAAGGGGCAGACAAATGTCCTTTAGCTCCAATTATAGGAAAAATCCACTTGATAATATTTTCAGACGAATGTCCAAGACGTTGATGCCATATATCCGCAGAAAGAGTTCCTTTATTAACATCAATGGCGTGAACAAGATTATCTTTGCGAAAATAATAAAGTCCATCGATCGATGGTCCTGTATAGCACAAATGTTAGATGAAAATTGGACAAAACATGAAGTGTGATCAATAAGTTGAGAGACGGAGAGTAAATTGCATGTCAATTGTGGGACATAAAGAATGTTGTGTAAATATATATCCTTGGATAAATATACACGTCCCACTTTTGTAGCCAGTGCTTGCTGCCCATTAGGAAGTCCGACCGGTCGGCCGGAAATTTCTTTAATATTAGAAAGGCATAACAAATTTCCAGTAACATGATTTGATGCCCCTGTGTCAATAATCCAAGAGGTGGAATCAAACATACCATACATCCAATCAGTAGAGGATTTTGGATTACCGAATGCAGCCACAAGAGCTTGCCATTGTTCGCTGGAGAGACCCGACAAAGGAGGATTTTCTGCAGCTGTGCATGAAACAGCAGATTGATTTCCGGTGGGACCCTCACATTTGACTTGCTGCTGCTAGTTCACATGAAGATGTGGGCAAATAATTGTGTGCAGGAGCTGGCAAATAATTCAAGGATGAGGTTGTGGTCATAATAGTGCTACCTGTAATAGCATGGGCTGTTGTTCGCAAGTGGCCAGAAGGTGGGTAGCTTGTATTTTTCTTTCGTATGTTAAAAGCTGATTTTGTATTTTGTTCCATCATTTTTGGTCGTGAGCCCCACCACTCTAGATATCCGATTATTTCAAAGCAGCTCGAGATTGCATGTCCATGAGAATTTACAATGGGTCCATTATTTCAAAGCCGCTTATATGTGTTTTAATGGCAAACCCCATAATTTCGTGATGTTCATCTCGTTCCTTATTTTTCATGATACCCCTCACTCGCTCTTCTTGAGAAATTTGTTGAAAAGCACGATTAAGTGTGGGAAGGGGAGTTTGTGAAAGCAACTGTGAGCGAATTGGCCATAGAGGTCGGAAGATAATCCCATCAAAAATTGATGAAACCGTTCTGCCTCCCTCCGTTGCTCATGTTGAGAGTTCAAGTTGCAGGTACATTTACCACACGAACAATTAATCAAAGGTTCATAGTTATTCAGTTCATCCCACAAAATTTTAAGTTTGCCATAATATCCAGCCACAGTCTGTGTTCTGGATTGTTCGCACCGAGCAATATCATATTTAACGTGATGAATTTTAGGGCCATCGACCACTGAAAAACGTTCCTTTAAATCCTCCCAGAGTAACTTTGCATCGTCAAATTTAGATAGAGTAAGTTTTACCTCAGGCGTAATGGTGTTCAAGATCCACGAGACCAACATGGAGTGGATGGTGATCCAATCTTCCTCGGTACAAGGAGATTCAGGCGCCTTAATCACACCATTGACAAAAACAAATTTTCGTCGTGCGCGTAGTGCTAATCGGATAGAGCTTGACCAGTCATCGTAATTATCCCCAATAAGACAAACAGGGGTAATAAAATCTCCAGGACGATCTTGGGGTCCAAGAAAATAGGGAGATGTATAATCTATTTTGGCCGGTGGAGGGTTATCTTCACCAATAGCCATGTTTGTAGACTATGGCTCTGATACCATGTAGAATTTCTTATTGTGGAAAAAGAAGTATTTTGGGGAAGTTTTCTGTCTTTCTTATTCAAGCCATACAAGGCAAATATATAGGAGTTACGTACAAGCAGGAGACAAAGGTCAATAATGACTAATGAGCCTAAGTCAATAATTGAAAAATACGAATAATAAAATTACAATTGAAATTACAAAAGGTAAATATTTATGTGTAATAAAAGGGCAAGTAAATCACCTGCACTAGAATCTGACTAATTGGCACAAAACCAAAATTTGTTCTCAAAATCGGGCCAACCTAATAGAATAACAACTCAGTAGTTGCTAAACTTGTGGAGACTGTTTACGAAGAGTTAGTCATCTCTTTATTTGTAACCATTACCTTGTTATTAAAGTTGTTAAAATATTTTGTTTTTGATCTTATCCTATAAAGCTTCCACCTAATGTATCATAACACATTACACATGTATGTATATATTGCCACTTGATGGCAATCCCTGAATATAAGTTCAATTAATCATTTCTCTGGTTGTACTACATGGTATTGAGCCATCTGTAATTTTTTCTAGCATCCCTTGGTACACTAAGAGCCCGTTTGGTAATACCAAAATCGGCTTAATCGGCTGATTCTGCAGAAATTTATAAAATTCTGGCTGGATTGGCTGATTTTGTTGATTTATTAAAAAATTATATTTAAAATGTATTTTATCAATAAAATAAAGAAAAAATATATGTAAAAATAACTAAAATGATCCTCTACAGTAACTTCAGCCAATACAGCCAGAAAAGTAACTCCAACCTTACTTTTTCTTATTATTACGCAATTCAGTGCGTGAAATAAAAAAATGGGGAGAATTTGACTTTCCACCCACTTTTTGGGTGATATTGGACTTTGCATCCCATTTTGAACAAACTTTGTTTTTGCACTCCATCACATAACATTTTGTGAAGAAAAATTTATGAATGGGGTGCAAAGTCAAAGGATTTTTAAGTGGAATGGGGTGCAAAGTCAAAAGTTTTTGAAAATAGGGTGCAAACTGCAAAGTCCAATATCACCCAAAAGTGGGGTGCGAAGTCAAATTCCCCCTAAAAAATAACGTGTTTGGTGAAAATGTTGGTCAATAAGTCTGATAAGCCGAAAAACTGGGCTACCAAACGGGCACTAAACCACAACTTTCACATATCACGTCAACTTTTGAAACAATCACCTTTCCGGTTGCATCTATTGGTGCAGGTAACTCCCTCACCATAATCAATCTCACCAACATGGTGAAAGTTACCTCCACCACGTATCTTGTTAAGATCTGGGGTTCGATCCTAAAAGGTCAACCTGATAGGAGGAGTAACTCAGATCATAATACATTTCTGGTGTGGGACTTCAACACCCCTCCTCACGACCTACACTTCGTCTGGATCGTGCCGTCATTCATTTTTTTCGCTGATTCGTCATTGTCATTTTTATATTCGTGTCATCATTTTTCATAAGGGGGACCACACCATGGTTATGGATTCGTTTTGGCTCTGATACCATGTTAATATCTGGGGTTTCATCCTAAAAGGTCAATCTGATAGGAGGAGTAATTCAGATCTAAATAGATTTTCGGTGTGGGACATTAACATATCTATTATGGAAAGTACAGCTTGACACATTACTTGTTGGTTATGGTCGAATCGAGTACGTCCATGGCAGTTCTAATGTTCTGCCAAAAACTCCGACCAGCAATATCACCACTCCAAACCCAACTTATCAACACTAGATTCGCCAAGATAAGGTTTTATTTGGTTCCATCGCCGAAATTCTTGATTCCATGCTTATTCCACTCATTTCACAAGTTGGAACCACCAAAGATGTTTGGACTATGATGGCTCACACCTTTGCTTGTCCCATTCATGATAATATCAAATAGATTGAAGCCCATATTAAGAACACTCGTAAGGGTGCTCAACCCGTTGGGCAGTACATCCATGCAATAATAACGTGTGCATATCAATTAACCTTGGTAAACCAATGGACATTGAGGATTTGGTTGAGATCATTCTCGTTGGTTTAGATAGTGACTACCAAAGTGTGATTCAAGCCCGACAGACCTCCCCTCGGCTTGATTTCCGAGTCACTACTACTGATGCAACATTCAAACCAAAGTCTTACCCAAGGGATACTTCGTCCCAAATAACAATGTGGAAACCCTAGTAGTATTGGGATTAGCCCATTTGTATATCTTGTATAGGAAACCCTAGTACTCCAAAATATAGCTATAAATATAGCTTCTTGTATAGCATTTTGATATCAAGTATATGAAATACAACAATACTTGTTCACATGGTATCAGAGCCACTATGGCAATTGTTAGTATAGTGATATGATTTTTCTGGCGGCGTCATTTCCGGTGATATTCCGGCGTGAACAGTAGCACGCCTTTAAATTGAGTGCTTCCGGTAGTGATATTAACCTACCGCTGTGCTCAAGGCTTCATCGCGACTTACGGCCGGAGGAATCACCTGCGCCGCATCACCCACGCGTCGCTCATGTCCGCACCTACAGTTTTACATCTTTGCAGATCTTTATCTTTCTGCTCATTTGGCGTTGACACCTCCTATCACCGGAAATTCCTGAGGTTCCGGCGACCTGAACGGCATAGGTTACGACGCCGTCGACTGAGTCACGCGCCGCCGCCGATCTCACGCGCCGCCGCCAAACCTTCGCGCCGCCCAGATCCGTCGCCGCCGCTGCTCTTTCCGCTCACCACTGCTCTAGTCGCTCACCGCACGCCGTCCACAGTCCTTCAGTGCTCTCTGGTTTGAAAACTGCTGCTTTCTCTTTGCTATAAGTACTCCGTATTTCCTTGCAGCAGTAATTTTTTGAATTACTCATATTTAATTTTCTCTTTACATAAAAAAACGAAAAAGAAAAAAAAATGTCTTCTGGCTTTGCTTCATTTGCTTCAGTTCCTATTATTACAACGGACCGTTTGGTTGGAAGCGCTAATTATCAATCATGGGCCATTTGTGTGGAGATGTGGTTCAAAGGTCAAGAACAAATTGATCACTTGCTTACAGATGTCAATTCAGTCAAGGATAAGAAAACGGAATGGGAGAATATGGATGCACCGTTATTTAATGTT